CTGCCCCAGCTGCAACCAGCTGACCACTCTTTGGTTTTTTATTTTGACGTCACCATTTTTAGTTTAAATACAAATATGGGTGTACAGGGTATATTAATAAAGGTATGGCATATATACAAAATATGGGGGTGGTAGAAAATAGGAACAGTGTACATTTTAATAGAAGGGTAGGATCTTCTAAAGTATCGGCTTTAACTAATTGGAAAATGTGTAAAATATATTAAAAGTGTCATTATTATACAGTTTAAAATATGCAATAGATATATAGGCTCTCCCATTAATTTTTCCATTGCAGTAAGGGCAGTAGAAATTGTTTCGCGTCTATAATAGTTAGGCTTATCAAGTTTTAGAACTCAAATATGGTGTACCCAATAATGATGTTTTATCTAGAGTTATACCTATGTGATATATTCACGGGCCAGCAAAGGTTGAAAATGACAAAGGAACATATCAGGTTAGAGGAAGGCAGACGTGTTGCGGCAGGCAAAACTGAAACCTAACTACGTCATTTCTTGGCGGCAATCCAAGGTCATGGATGATTAACTTGTTCCGTTTCCTTTATGCTATTTCCTCTCCGATTTCTATTTCTTCTATAGACAACATGTCCAACATATATGGAACATAACACTTTTGTTGTTTTTAGTGTCCATCAAGTTCACTTCGACTTTTAGTTACTATATTAACAAATATTCTTCAATTTGAACTGTTAGTGAGCATCACTCTCAGTTCATCTAGCGACTTTCCAGTACCTTACTTGATCCCATCCAGCCAGTTACAGTAGAGCATCGATTATCCGAATACCGATTATCCGAAACATCGGTTATCCGAAAGCTAATCCGAAACCAAAACCGCCGAAAGCTAACATAGCGGGCTGGCATCTGGCGGCAGGCTGCCAACAATGTCTTCTAAACATAAACGTGTTGTTCTCAGTTTTACTTTTAAAATACTGGTAGTAGATCAGTTGAAGAATGGTGCTAGTGGATCAAGCTTAGCTCGGAAATATGGAGTTGGAAATGCAACAATAGCGGACATTAAAAAGAATAGTGATGCCATTACAAACTATATTAGTGCACTTGATAATGAAGATGGAAGTTTGTACAGAAAAGCGATGAAAATAGCAGAAAAAAAAGATTCAGACGCTGCGGTTTACACATGGTTTATGCAGTTACGTAGTCAAGGACAACCAATAAATAGCAATAATTAAAGCAAAATACAAGTATCAAACAAATTCATGTTTAATATAACTGTTTCTTTTTTTTTTTTTTTCATATTACTACTATGACTTAGTATTTTATTTTGAAGGAAGGAATGATCTGTTATCCGAAATATCAATTATTCGAACACCCCCATTCCCCAATTGATTCGGATAATCGATGCTCTACTGTATTTAGAGGTCTTCCTATCTTTATTCTTCCTCGAATTTTTCCTAACATCTTATGTAATCCTTTTGCTCTCATTATATTTCAGAAGAAGGTCAATCTTAGCATATTTGGGATTCTAAGAACCTATAAAGATTCCTGTAATTTCAATTATGCTCCATGGACTAAATGGAACATAACAATCTGGTTTATCATATATTCCCACTATTAAAAGTATCAGGAGGTCGGTGGAAGACTGGTATAAACTGTTGGTTTACGACCGCTACGACCCGGGTTCGATTCCCGCATTAGGCTTTTTTTTTTTCTGATTAAAAAAAAAAGCTCCAATGTCCCCCTATTCTTGCAAAAGTCCAACCCCAACAGCGAGTGCAAGTAACCAAACGGGGTTCTGGCATATTTTTTGTAAGTACAAAGTCGAACTGTTTTTCACGTGTGTAGACATGTAGTGCACTTACAGTAAAAGCAGTCGCCTTCTTCTACCCACCATGATTATCATGGCCTGTAACACGTGTACTAGTGGTAAGCAAAAAAAAATTAAAACTATCATATAAAACCCTTAGAGGTCATAATAACCATTTCTAGTTACCCCCCTTGTCCATACCATCGAAGGTCAGAGTAATTAAATATAAATATTTGACCAAAATTGTTTTGTTTAGAAAGCAATATCTCCCAACACAGCAGTTTTCATCAGAAACAAATATTTCTTCATATTTAAAAGCTTTAATGGATAAACAAATGCTCTGTTGAGGTGAAGAACTTGTAAAGCAGTTCAAGGCTCTTTTTGAATATGGAAACTGTAAAATGTATAATTAGCGCTTCGTAATTTGGAAAAAAAAACAAACTTCAGGATGAAGGATATCACGTGGTATGCGATAAATTTTATACTTCCGTTGAATTGCCAAAGATTTACGCAATAGAAACACCTATTTTACAGATACACCGAGGAGAAAGCGAAAGGATGAAAGAAAAAATAATTGAGTTGGAGACAGGATTTACAGAAACAAAACAAAATACCTGTATTGTTCCTTTGTAAGCTTGAAATCTCACACTTCAACTGTCCTCTTGTGGTCTCATCATATGCTGGAACTAGCTCCCAACTTGTAATAACCTCACTTTCTCGGGCAAGGAGTCGAATTTATCAGAGAAAGATTGAAGCTACTTTATTACAATGTCCATATAAGATTATATAAGCTTAATTACAGAATAAATATAAAATATGAATAATATATGTGTCGGGAATGTATTATGTTAATCTTCTGTATAGATTTGAAACTATGTAAATTTACTTCATTTTTTTAATTTTATGTAAATTCTTATGTGTATTCGCGACTAGAAATAAAATCAGTTGTTGTAATTCACTGGCTGGACTCTCATGTTGTTGCTTGGCCGATCATTGCCAGATACCTGCCCTAGAGACAACAACGGAATTCCGCAGTTTCTTTCTTCTTGGAGTCGCTCTTCCCCTACATAGAGATAGGTTGGTGTTCTCCTCCCGGGACACCTGAAATAGACTTAGGGCGTGTGGGCAAAATAGAGCCTGGGCACTGCGCCGCTGAACGCGACAATATGAATAAATAGTGAGAGTGTGTGTGTGTGTGTGTGTTTCACTCCAATATGGAAAAGGAGATAAAATTATCTACTTAAAATGATTATCATGATTAAAAACGAGAGAAAATTCTTCAACCAATGGGTAAAACTATATAATTACGATTAATTAAAGAATTTTGAATGCTTCCATCAATTATAGACAGAATATTGATAAGTCTGTGGGTAGATCTGACGCTCAGAAAGTTTTGGTAGAAGAACTCATCAAATATCAAGTCAAAAATGAAACTAAATTAAGGCCATTGACATCTACTCATAGTCTTGAGGACTGGGTTTTATTTGCATATTGTTTTATTTCATTTGTTACCATTTTCACTAATTTAAGGAGGGTCGGTGGAAGGATGGTCTAAACCATTGGTTTTCGACCGCTACGACCCGGGTTCGATTCCCGCATTGGGCACTTTTTTTTCTGATAAAAAATAAAAAATGCTCCAATGGACCCCTATTCTTGCAAAAGTCCAACCCCACCAGCGAGTGCAAGTAACCAAACGGGGCCCTGCCATATTTGTAAGTGCAAAGTCGAACTGGTTTTCACATGTGTAGATATGTGGTGCACTTTCGGTAAAAGCAGTCGCCTAATTCTACCCACCATGATTATCAGGGCCTGTACCATGTGTACAAGGGATGATAAAAAAAAACACATTTTCACATCCAATTTTCACATTATAATATCATTATAAAAATAATTATGCATACAGTGCACCTATGTAATTGACAAGATGTTAATAAATCATTTTTAATTGTCTATAGAACTATAGCCAGTCTTAAGCTTCATTGAAGTTAATAATAATAAATGTTTTCTAATGTGTGAAGAAAACATCGTCGTAAGTTACTCAAGTAACTTGCAGTCATTGCTCCGAGGTCGAAGCGAACAACTTGAGGATAAAAGAAATCCACTCACATATGAACTTGGTTACCTCTGTTTAGGGATGCACCCGGGAAGGTGAGATGGGGAAGTCTTGAAGCCACTGGTTAATCGAGCAGTCTGGTGTCCTAGCTATATCTGACTCTTAACACCCGATTCTTCCGAGCTCAAAAAACAGCCTATAATGTTAATGATGACGTTAGACAATTTTGACAATTCAATATATTTTATTGACAATCTTTGTTAATTGTTATAAAAATCAAAGATAAATTATACAAAGTTAATGTGATTATTTACAATTTGGTGATAAAAATATTTTAAAAACTGTTCTCAGGAAGGGAGGCTCCTCCACCTTGAGAGAGTCCTCCTCCAGACAAGGACAGGATCAATTTGAACCGCTCTCAGTTCAATGTTGAGATGATACTTATAGAGACATGTCTTGGCAGACGCCAGGATGATGACGTTAGAGAGGGCGGAAAATGTTGTCTTTTTTGCATCCAATCAAAGCCTGAGACAACCAATATGTTTACATAATCCTTGAATTGCTTGGACAGGAAATATCTTTATTTACGGGACTGCTAACCAGAATGAATGAATTCGAGCTCCGATGGACGCATAAAGCGGAATATATACAAAACACTATGTACATTGCACTTTTGGAGGGGCTGGGGATGGGTGGCCAGGGGATCATCGCCAGGTGAAGCCAGGAGAGCCAGGATGTAGGGAAGGATCAGTGGGGCAGGGTGGTGATCAGCGGAAATCAGGGGGAGGCAGAGACGGGTCCAATAGTGTTGAGCCCAGGGGTGACCGTGGAGAGCAGACAGACCGCAATGCTCTGTTGCAGCCAGAGCGGACAAAGTAAAACTCTCTCTCTCTCTCTCTACAAAGTAAAGAGAGAGATAATATGGTTTTACGGGCTACTAATTAAAGTAAATGATTTTTGAGGCCAAAATAATGTAGCAAGCAGACAAGCCGAAAGAATTGCTTGGACAATGTTAACAACTTTTTAATAACCTTTCCCGAGGTCCACC